TGTTTTTGCAAGACAAAAAGTGCTAGAGATGGACACTGTGAATGTACTTGTTACTGAGCTATACACTTAAAAGTTTTGAGTAAAATGGTAAAATTTGTGCTATATATTTATCACAATAAAAAGGTATAAAGCAACAGGGAAGAAATGACTCATGATGTCTCAGTGACATGTATATATATATGGTTTGAGTTTTTCTTTCCCCTAGTTGTAGCCTTTTGATAGGTATATGTTACAAGAATATATTTTGCACGGTTGTGGGACTTGGTATGGCTATTTTAAGCCATCCCAGCAGATGTGGAGCCTCGATGTGTAAGTACTGTAATATCTATGGCATGGACCTCACAGAACCCATCATGGGCACTCAGGGCCTCCTGACGCTATATCCTCCTGATGAAGGTTCTCTTGAGAAAAGATCATCAGGCTTCTGCTTAAACCTCTTCAGCAATAACCACCTGACTACTACGGGCAGCTCATTCTCGTTTTAAAAATCAAACATCCGACCCATTACTTTTACATAGAAAATGATGGGAAACCAGGGATCTCATTCTCAGAGAGCTGATGTTTTCCCTAATTAATGATCTTGTTTCTAAATAATAGCCTGTACAACAAGCTCAAAATTGGTAGTCTGTGAGACAACTTAACTGGAAGATCCTATTTACAGGGTAAAAGCTTTATCAATTGAAATATTTCTAGTTAAAATGCAGAACTCCAGCTTCTCTTAAGATAGATCTGGCAACCTTGGACAGTACTTTCACTTGACCACAGCTAAAGGCAGCTGAGGAACACACATTCTCCTGTGTATCACAGCCTCCCTTCAATTACTCTCTCAGAACAGGCTCAGGCCTTTAATTTAGCCTCGAAAGCAAGGAAAATCTCTGCCTACTAAAAAGAACTCTCAGAGCCTCGCAAGGCCGGTCCTGGTCTGCGCGGGGATCTGCCAGGTCTAGCTGACCTTCCAACTGGGACCAGACCAGAGCTACGGCCCCTCACTTTGTCACGCAGCGCTAGAACTCTGCACTCCCGCGAGCCAGCGTCTACACGCGTACCGTGGGCAGTGACACCTACCTCGTGCAACTTACGAGGCCTTAAAGGGCAAAGAGGCGGGACCTTGCCCTGCCCGACGCTCCGCAACGTCGAGGGGCGGGATCTCGCAGTCCCAGGGAAAAGGCTGCAGGGGGAATGACAACAGAATTGGAACCCACCACCACTCAGCCGAACTGCCAGACAACACACACAGCGCCCCGCCCTAGGAGGCTCAGCACCTCCGCCAACGTCTAGGGTCCAGGAGCGCTCACTGGCCGGGGGACCGGGTCTTTGCACTAACTTGCGCGCCCCGGAAGGAGCCTGGTCAGGTGGATCGAACCACTATGTGAAGTAGGGGGGGACGTGGAAGGAGTGAGGAAGTGAAGAGGGGTGCGGAGGGAAGAAAAGGCCTGGATAGAGCCTTTAAGCTGTACGGGACTCTTCAACATCAGAATTATGTAATTCAACAGGGTCACTGGGGTTGACATCGACTCAGCGCCGAGATTTTTAGTAGTCTCCCACACCTTCAACTAGTAATAGTTGGTCCGAAAGGTTAGAGGGTGAAACTTGCGCAGGCGCAGTGTGAACGGCAACATGGCTTCCCGGGCCAAAAGGAGAGCTGTGGGGAGCGGGGTTCCTCAGCTGCGGGGAGCCCAGGTCCGTTGTGAAGAGGAAGAGGAGGAAAATGAAGTGGAAGACGAGGACGAGGACAGTGAAGACAGTGACGAAGAAGAGGACGAAGATGACGAGATCGTGGACGAGGTGAGAATGACATGGTACACCAGTTTGATTTATACCGGAGAAAGTACCTTCTGGTAGTAAAAGCAGTATGGTGATCCCGTGAGCCGCGAAGGGTGGTGGCTTCTTTGTTTCTGAGGGTCGGTAAGCAGAAATTGGAGGTAATAAATTCTTGAAGCTCCGCTTGAGTCTTTTCCATACCTGGGGCACAGTAATTTTGTGACTCTTTCCCTGGCCGGGTCACACCCCTCCCCCAAGCCCGCCGCCACCCACTCAGGTTTTAAAGTGACCGCCTTCATTAAATCCCCAGATCTTTTAATAGTCCGGAAGGAGTCAGCAAACTCTGTCTCTCCCCACCCCTGCAGCAATTATTGGCCTCCTACACTTTGCGTGCTTCATTCACATCCGTCTTTCATTTCTTTAAAAAACGAGAGCATATTAGTTACACCTGCGGGTTTCCTTTCGTTATAGTCACACATGTGTAGAACATATTGTACATGCCTGTAATCTGAGTTACGCTGGAGGCTGAGGCTGGAGGATTGCAAGTTGAAGGCCAGCCTAGGCAATTTAAGGAGATGGTATCGCAAAATGAAATAGAAAGTGTTAGCTCTTTCTGCGTAGCTCTGCACTCCGAAGTTCAGTTCTCAGTGTCACCACCGCTCAAAAATAAACCAACATTCAACAAACAGAAAAACCCAGAGTAGAATACGCTTCATTTTTGTGCTGTTCTGTAGTCGTTTTGAAAGTTTTTCATGCTGCAGAGCTTTTCCTTCCTTGTTTAGATTTTAGATAAGCTGCATTTTCTGCCTCCCTAAAACAGCTGACATAGTCATGTTGTTTGATTTTTATGGACTTACAGAACTGGGTTCATTCTTCAGAATAGTTACTAACTGCCAGTGTAGTGCCTGGCATTATAGGCCCTTATTTGTTGAATGAATAATTAAGACCTGAGTGATCCTTAAGGCTATTGAGTGTCTTTTTTTTTCTTTTTAAGGGCAGAGTAGCCGGGCGTGGTGGTGCACGCCTGTAGTCCCAGCACTCGGAGGCTGAGGCAGGAGGATCTTTGCGAATTCAAGACCAACCTGGTCTACAGAGTGAGCTCAAGGCTAACCTGAACTGCATAGTGAGACCCTGTCTCAAAAAGACAAAAAAAAAAGGACAGAATATATTTATTGGGGAAAGAAAGCTTCTGTCTGAGAGAGACAAAAGGGGTCAAGAGTGGGTTGCCAAGGACCTTGCCATTTTAAGAGATTTTTTTATAGAGCAAAACCATGAGGGAGGCAGGTCCGAGGTGGGGAAGAATGGGAAATCACAAGGTGGGCATGACATGGGACAAAACTATGGTCAACCAATAAGATTATGAGCATAATTGCTTAGGTAATATTGATTAAATGAGAATCACATTGGGAAGTAAGTCACGTAGTTCCCCATGTCTCTGTCCAGTGATCTTGGTGGAAAATCTCCAAATGATGTAGGGGAAAGACATGCCCAACCTACTAGATGTCTGGCATGAGTTCATGTTCTCTAAAACTGAAGAGTGAATTCTAGGAACAATGGAGGTTAAAAGCAGAATATATATGTTGGGGGAAGACAGCTTCTCTCCGAGAGAGACAGAAGGGGTCCTGACTGAGCTGCCCTGCTGAATGTCTTAAATAGATGCCTCAAAATTAACAGTCCAAAGCAGAGTTTATAATTTATGCTTCTCTTAATTGTTACCATTTCTGTAAATGGTCCCCTAGTTTACTAGTTGTTCAGGCCCCAAACCTGTGAGTTAATGTTAATCTTAATCTCCTCATTTTTCTCATCCCACATCTACTTTATTAGTAAATCCCATTAGCTTTACCTTCAGTATCTAGACATTCTCATCATTGATTCTGCAGCCATCCCAGTCCACACCTCTATTCTCTCTTGCCTGTGCCACTCTAACAGCTTTTAACTAGCTTGCCTTTCCTATTCTTGTCGTTCTATAGTCTGTACTTACATGACCAGAGATCTTGTAGGTGTGTCCTCACTCTCCTGCTCAGAGTGCTCTGTGGACTTCCTACTTTATTTTTAAGAAAAACCCACGTCCTCTTGGTTGAGGGACAGAAAGGAAGAGTGGCTGGATCAGAATAATTGAGAGATGGGAAGTAAAGTCATAGAGATAAGCCCAAGTCAAAATGAGAGTGGAAACGAGGATGTGGAGAAGGGTGGATGCACTTAGGGATTAGGGATGAAACTGTGGTGTGGGTGTGTGATACTTCTTCCTGTCCAAACCAACTCTTTGGTTTCCTGCCTTGTGTGCCTCCTCACTATTTTTCATTTAGTACATGTGCTGCCTAGGTGAGCACATCCATTTTTCACTTACAAGAACTTTCAATTGGGTGTTTTCTCAGCTTTGGATTATAGAAATCATTGCTTCTTGCATTAACAGGAAAAATCAAACAGACTGCCAATTACTAAAACTTTTGTGTACTATAATAACCATCCTTGGTAGTATAGAAAAATAGCCACATACGCTGTGAGTGGGAGTGTAAATTGATGCAGTCTCAGTCTCTTTGGAGCATAATTTGAAAGTATCAAAATATAAAGTATATACATCACCCAGTTCTGTAAATGGCAAGAAGTTTTGCCTGATTTAATAAATGGTAAGAATTTACCCACCAGGCTCTTGTGTATTTTGTATTAATTCACTTAATGTACACATTAGCCCTGTGAATTTAGGAATTAATCGTTATTTTATAAGGGAGACTGTACAGCAAGTTAAAAGAACATTGTATATTTGTTGTGTAAGGGGAATAAATTAAATGTATCAAATTATGTGTGTGTCGTTTGACAATCTCTGGAGAGGAGTAGGATACTGAGAAGTAGCGAATAAGACTTCTTAAACTCTATTCTCTGCAATCGTTGTAGTTTTTACCGTTTGATTTTTGTTGTTGTTGTTGTTAGTTTTTAGGGCAGTTTCCTCTTACTGAAACACCTAGTGGATATTTATTCCTTTATGTATTTGAAGGATGCTTTTACTTTCTAAGATGTTCGCTCATCCACAGCTTGTTTTTGCTGTGTAGAAAACCATGAGAATAAACCTCTCCTTCCTTAAATTGCTGGTATGGTATTTTCTTAGTGACAGGAAAGTTAACCAGTAAAGGTGGGGATACTGAAAGGATGTGAAGCAAAGGAACAGGCATGCTTAGGTAAGGCTCTTGTGATCGTATAGTTAGGACTCTTACTTGTGTTTAATAGAAACCCTGGCAGAATAGATTTAGCAGAATGTGTGATAAGATACAGTTGTCTTTCTCCAGGGGCTGGAAAGCAATTTAGTTTCAGGAACAGACTGGGCCTGTGAACCTACATTGCCATTGAGAACCTTGGAAATCTCACATTTTACATCTTTGCTTTACTTTGTTGCATTCATTCAAAATACTTGCTCTTTTTCTACTTCATGTAACAGAATAAAAAATGTCTACAGCTCACCCCAAAGGATGAGAAGGCTAGACACCACAGCCTTAATTTTTAAATTCTGAACCACCGAGGGTGGGGAAGTCTCAGAGTTATAATATGAAACTGGATAAACGAGCCATATGCAGGCAAAGAGGTGTGGACAGATAGTCCATTTAGAATCTGTTGGAATGGCTGTGCCATAGTAGTCTAGGATATAGGTCTGAAGTTTCTATCTACGTAGCAGATATTTAAAGAATTTATTTTAAGTGCTCACTGGGTTTGGTCTTCTCCATGTGGTCCTGACCTGCCCTCTGTGAGCAAGAGAATTGGGACTGGTTTGGGGGTGTCCTGTCTGAGTGGATACTGGACACCATGGTTTTCAGTACAACAAATGACATTGCTTGTCCGATGCAACTCTTGACAGTGGAAATTCCTTTTAAAATTAGCATGCAGTTGCATAGAGTTGAGAAATTGATTTTTTTACCCTATAGAAATTTAAAAATAACAAATAGAAGAAAAATTATTTCTAAGGAATTAATTCAAGTCCTGAAAAATGACAGTTACTTGGTTTAGTTTGATCCTTTTGGAACACTCCCATCCAATCCACTGGGTTTTACTATTTATATAATTTGACTGAGCCTATTTCACAGTGGAATTTGAAGTCCTCAGGCTGAAGCTGATATCACAGCCAAGAGAGCATGTAAATATATGTGTAGTCAGGATAGCAAGACCAACATAGGTCTGATTTCTTCTGGTAAGTCCTTCAGCTGAGGCCCAAATTCCAAAATTTGAAGTACATTTATAAATATGATATTTCATCAGAGTACACATTCACTTACAAAAATATGATTAGGATGCTCAAGGACTAATTCTTGTGTAACATATAAAAGCATCTAAAGCTTTGTTGTTGGAATGAAATAGTAGTTTCATTTTTCTCTGGGTTGTTTCAGTAGCATCTTTTATAAACTATTGTTTTGCAGAGATACATAAAGGTGCCCCGTTAATGTACAGCTTCTTCTAGTCCCTTGGACTGATAATATTTCCCTTGGCTGCAGGGCCTTAGCCTATGCTGTTCCTTGTTCCAGGAACCTTCTTACTTTCTTCAATTCCCAGCTTATGGCACTTCTTTAAGGATGCTTTTCCAGACTTTGATTTCCTGTTTTTTAAAATTGTTATAGTACCACTGTTTAAAATTGTTATAGTACCATGTATCTTTTTTTTTAGTGGCAAATACAGTTGCAGTTTTACGTGTATTTCCATGAGTATCTCCTTAGTGTCTGTATTCCCACCTAAACTCTTTTTTTTGGGGGGTACTGGGAATCGAACTCATGACCTCAGGCTTGCCAGACAAGCGTCTATGCCACGGAGCTATATCCCCGGCCACACCCACCTAAACTAAAACATAAGTTCCTATGAGCAAGATCATTCATGTTCGTAATTCTTACCATTTTATCTCAAGTGCTTGATACCTGTTGATACTCAATAAATATTTGCTAAGTGAATGAAGTGACGTCTCAGGGCCTAAAGGATAGACATCAAAGTCCAAGCAATGACCCCAAAACACCAGATACTTCCTCAATCTGTGACATGCAGATTACTCTTTCTGCATATCTCTACATATTGCAGAGGTGCTATCAGGCCTCCTACCCAGCCCAGCTCAGTATTTGCCTGTTTCCCACCTTTCTCACAGTCACTCATCTCCAAGCCACTCCCCTGTTCACAAATTAATAACACCTAGTTTCAGCCTTGGGTTGAGGCCTTTGTTCCAGTTAGCCATTATTGTATCTGGGCTTAGGACCCCCTTAGCTCCCCACCATTATAGATGTGTATTTGTTTCTTTATACACATCATGGGTTATGCTGAAAGTGGTAGACTGAAATTAACTCACGAGAATTCCAATAACTTTACCGTAGGATTACAAATACAAACTCGACCAGATCACAGCGAGGTCTGGGAAGGGCTTTCTGTAGCAGTCATTATCTGTTTTGAAGCCTAGACATTTATAGCTATGCAAATAACATTTTCTTATTCTTGTCTTTTGTTGTTTGTCCCCTTGGCATCTTTTGTAGATGACTAATAAAGAAACTAAAAGAGTGGAAGTTGAAAAAAAAAAGAAAAAATTTGCAAGTGGAAAACAGGGCCACAATCATTTATATTTGACAGTCTGTTTTGCATGTTCTTTACAGGAAGTGAATATTGAATTTGAAGCTTATTCCATCTCAGATAATGATCATGATGGAATTAAGAAATTACTACAGCAGGTATTGTCTTTCATATATTACGTCCAAATTTGCTTTGTTAAGAAAATTCAAGCTGTTCAATACAACCTCTCTCAAAGTTCATCCTTTCAGAATTCCTTTTTTTGGGGCAGTACTGAGAGAATTCCCATTTCTATACTTTCCTAGGAAGAACTGTTTCTCTTCTTTTCCAGAGCTAATCCTCTGTATTCGTGCCACTCCTCCCTGATCCCTTCCCCTGATTAGTATGTTGAAGCTTTTTGTGTCCTATAAAAAACCCTCCTTGAGCTACTATTTTGTTTTCTGTACTTCACATCCAAACTTAGTGAGGTACAACAGCTCTTACAATCATATAACTGACTGCACTTTTTGGTGCTGCAATCATTGTTGCTGACTCAATTACTCTTTAACACTATATAGTCTGACTTTGGGTCTTTAACCTTTATAGCCTCCAGTGACCTGTCACCACATTTGGCCCTCTGTCCATCCTCCTCCTCCTCCATCTTTATTCCCCAAACTGCCTCATTACCATTAATTCTTGTTTTCTGAAATTTTCTAACCTTTAGCTTCTTTGATTCTTCTGCACTTTTCTTCTTGGGGTTGCTTTTCTAGGTTACCTTCTTGGTCAAGTCTTAAAATTTCATTATTTTTATTTGAATAAGGGATTTAAGTTTTATTAGAAACTTGGATCTTAATTAAACTTATTCTTCCCTTTTAGCTTTTCCTAAAGGCTCCTGTGAATACTGCAGAACTAACAGATCTCTTAATTCAACAGAACCATATTGGGAGTGTGATTAAGGTAAGCTGGACAATTGCTTTTATTTGGATTTACATGAGTTCTTTACCCTGTTCAGTTCCAGCTGGAAGGATGTACCCCTGGAGGACTAATCAGCCCGGTACTATAAGCCAGGTAGCAGCAATGGAAGAGAGAAGTGGGCCGATTCAGAAGATACTTGGGAGATGAAATGTGATGGGGCTTAGTGTGTGATTGTCTGTGAGAATGAGAGAAAAGAGTCAAGGATGACTTCCAAGCTTCTGGCTTGAGCAACCAGGAAAGCAAACATGGAAGATTGGATTAGGAGGAAGAGTATGACTTTGAATTTGAACACTTTGAGTTTGGGTGCCTGTGACATACGGAGGTGAAATATTGAGCAGCACCTGGAGACTTGGAGACTTGGAGGTTGTAGCAGAAGTGGTTGTGATTTCCCAAGGAACGCAGGGGACAGACACACACTAGTCATACCAGTAGTGGCGGTGTCAGCAGTGGTCAGAAGGAATGGACGACTGGAGAAGTAGAAGAAAAAGCAGTAGAGCGATACCATAAAAGCAGAGGAGGAGCATTTGAAGGAGAAGCAAGTTGTCATCATTGACAGATGCAGTAGAGTTCTGGCTCTGCTGTGTACCTGGTAGTTCACAACTACCCCATAGCTTACTGTCAAAGAATAGCAAATCAAGTAGTTCTCACCTTCAGCCACTTCACTTTGTCTTCATATTTCGCCAGATTTCTTAAAAAACAGTCTTAGATTGTGCCTACCTCCTTGCCTTCTATTCATTTCTCAAACACTTTAAAAATTTTGTTGATAAAAATTACTCTGAAAGATAGGATCTTTGTTACTAAATACAATGGACATTTTCAGGCCTTCTCATAACATTAGCAACCTTTGGTGCTAAGTATAAAGAAAATGAGAAAAATAAAAGCTACAATAGCTTTCTTTTATTAGGGCAATGGGAAGAAGCAGACCACTGTGGATCTGCAGTTTGGACAGGGCTCAGTGAGAATGACTCGTCTGCTTCTGCTCTGTGTCACATTAGCTGAGGAGGCTCAACAGGGAACTAGAAGATTCACTTTTAAGATGGCTAACCATGTGACTGCGAGTTAGCGTTGCCTCTTTTGGGAACCCATCTTGCACTCAGGGTCAGGGGCCTCAGTCCTGCTCCATGTGGGCCTTTCTGCGTGATAGCTGGGTTCCAAGAGCGAGCAGCCCAAAAGAGCCAGGTGGAAATGTATAGCGTATTACGGTGAAGTGCCCTTTTCTTTAGTCACTTGATCTGCATAGACACAGTGGTCTCCAAGTGAGGGAAGGTCTAGCCAGGGGAGGGCACACACAGCTCACCACTCAGTGGGCAGTTGTCAGAGGAGAATGTCTTTGGGGCCATCTGGAGAAGATGTAGTTTGCTCCTGTGACCTTAATTTAGTTCCAGAATGATACTAGCACCTACCTAGCATCTTGGGTAGGTGAATAAAATGACATAAGTGCTTAGAACAGTGTCTGGTACATGATAGATACATGGGTAGCAGTCACTGTTGATGTCTTTTCCATTCCCAGAACTTGTTCTTCAGCCTCTTTTTGTGAAAAATAGAAACAGCTACAGTGTAATGGCTCATTTAGGTGGCTCATTTGCAGCCACCTCACTTTGTCGAGGCCAAATTTCTTAAGCAGTTCTTGACTGTGCCCACTTCCCTGCTCTCTGTTCATTTCTCAAACACTTTAAAAATTTTGTTGGTAAAAATTGTGCATTGCAAGATTTGTTACTAAATACAACGGACATTTTCAGGCCTTCTGATAACATTAGTGACCTTCGCTGCTAATGAGAAAAATAAAAGCTATAGGAGCTTTCATTAGGGCAATGGGAAGAAGCAGACCACGTGCTTTTTCATCAAATAAATCTGATCTCTGATTAGTGTCTTACAAAACCTGATGGGTATATATGAGAGGCAGTTGCTTTTGTCCTTGAGATAGCTCAGCCTTCACGTGGATCATGCCAAAGCTCTAGTTATAATTACAGCTTCTTTGGTGTCTAAGGAGACTCTTGAGATGTCCTGACAATAGAGAGCTTTTGTTCTTAGGAGCTGACTGCCCAGAACATTTGTTGGAGCCTTTCGGATGAGGTGGATTTGGACACTAATATAGGCTCCTAGGGTCATAGAGAGACAAGGGGAGCTCAGTGAGTTGTGTATGCATGAATTGGAGAAAGAAGCTAGAGATGAAGGGAAGTTCTCTGTAGTACATTAATGCTCAGTACTTAGGTCTGTAGTACATTAATGCTCAGTACTTAGGTCTAAAAAATTGTGGACTGAAATGGAGTTTGATGGAACAGAGAAGTGGGTTAAGCAGCTGGAATATTGCTGGAGAGCCAGATCATTTTAGATGCGATGGTGAGCCTAGACTTAGGGAACAGCAGACCCTTAGGGAACTTAGACTTAGGGAACAGCAGACCCTTGTGGAACATAGCCCATTGTGAGGAGAGGAACAGTGAGGGTGCTCTGAGGGGTGTTAACTGCTTATGAGCTGAGTAATTTTTTTTTTCCATAGGACTTGAGAAGGGTCCCTTGTATTTTCCCTGGCCTTTTGTCTGCCTTTTCTATTCAGGTTTTGCCAGAGTAGCTGGTGTGTGTATGTGTGTAGGGGTGATACTCTGAAGCTCTTGGAAACTCAGATGTTGGTCTTAGAGAACCAAGACCATGTTTTTTCCTGGACTTCTTGTCCCTTTCTCCTTTTTTTTTTTTTTTTTTTTTTTTTTCTCCGGTACCGGGAACCGAACTGTAGGCAATGGGATGTGAGCAGACAGAACATTTT